CGCCCTCACATCGAAGTCTGGTGTTGCTGTGTCTACATTGCTAATTTGCTTGACCCTCCAACTTCAAAACCCTTGCAACTGGTTCTGAAACTCCGACCAATCTGCGCAAGCAACGCTCTTGTATAGAGAAAGGAAGCATCAGTAGTTACCATGTACTCTCATACACTTGCAAATCTTACTATATATGAACATATATGTTCCTCTCAGGAAAAACGAGTTACTCATTTTCTTCCATTTTCGCTCTCAGCTCTCGCTCTCGTTTTCTTCAAGGCTGCCACCAAATGACGGACCTCTCAGAGGAGGCCAGGCAAATCGAGAAGCTTTACGAGTTTGGAGAGAGGCTCAATGAAGCCAAGGACAAGTCTCAGGTCTCCCTTACTTCTTTTTTCTAGGGTTTTGTCGTGTCTTCTTCTTCAGTATATTTTTAAGTTACGGTGAGACTTGTGTCTTTATTGTTTGTGTGTGTCTTTTCGGATTTTATTGTTGCAGAATGTGGCGGATTACGAGGGGATTATCGCCGCCGCAAATACGAGCATTAAGGCCAAGCAACTGGCGGCTCAGCTCATTCCTCGCTTCTTCAAGTTCTTCCCTGACCTTTCTTCCCGTGCTGTTAACGCTCATATCGATTTGATAGAAGAGGAGGAGCTCGGGGTCAGTCCCATCCCTCTCATACACACGGTCACACACCTATGTATATTAGTGAAAATGAGCCTGTTTGCTGATGTGCAATCAAGTTGGAAGTTTCTTAATGGAAGAATTTAGCTAATTCCTTTGCAATCTAGTTAACAAGAGAATTTTAGTTCTATATTCTGAAATTTATTCTGTACTTTTCTTTTTAATTTTTACACTTAACTTGGAAAATAGGTCCGTGTGCAAGCCATAAGGGGACTTCCCCTTTTCTGCAAGGATACACCGGAATATTTGTCTAAAATTGTGGACATTCTTGTGCAAGTTTTAGCTTCTGGTAAGTTTTGTGAAATAGTTTTTGTAAGGAATGTAGGTTTTGTGAACTTGATGGCTGTTGCTTTTGAGGTTTTTTTTTCTGTATTAATACTATGATATTGGATTTTCCTTGATGTGCTTAGATGA